GACGACGTAGAGAGAGAGAGAGAGAGAGAGAGAGAGAGGTTTCATGCTTCCTGGGGCTGAAAACTCAGTGAGTCACATTTGGTGAGTCAGCTGTTTTTTAAAAATATTCAAAAGTAGAACTGCCAACACTTAGTTGTACAGTCTGAGAGTTAGCGTAGCAACTAGATTTTCTATGTTTAAATAATGGTGGGTATTTTTTAAAATTTACCATAATTCAATTCAATTGTCCTTAATTTCCCTAGTGAGCCGAGTTTCTGTGATCGCTGTAGCAGCTGTCATGTGAGTGATTTGCCATCGAAACCTTCCAACCCCCAGTAAAACAGTTTTAAATATTTTTGAAAAGTTAATATTATGCATCATGTAGGATTCAGATAACACATTCCTAATGTAGTTAAGATTTGTGTGTATTCAGTGTCATATCTGCTTTTGTTAATGACAAAATAAGTTTTACATTTTTTTGTTCCTATTAACCCTACAAAGCCAGTACAAACAGGAGATGCAGATTCTATTCCCTCTGAATGATGAACTTTTTACAAAGTTCAAATTAGTTGTACCTGTACCAACTGCATTGAAGGCAAAGGAGTTGTTCAGGTGTAACTGAGGGCATAATCTGAAGATCCTGGGTTTGCATAGGTATCACAGAAGGCCTAATTTAGCCCATAGAACCTTTTATTACAAGTGCTAATGGTTGAAGTGGAAAGACTCTGACCTTGTTTCTGAGACCAGGATGAGATTGCAAGGCTAACAGGAAAAAAGGTTTCTTATTAAATTAAGAACATGTGATCTGGAAATCATAGCAACTAAACATGGAATCATATGTTATTTTTAGAGTAACTTTTCAGAGTTCAGACACTTTAAAAATTTGGTTCTGTTTTGTAAGTGCAGATCTGACTTAACTGTTACCAGACCATGCTAAAGTCATAGTTTAGCTTAAACCATGCCTTAACTGTATCAGTGTGGAGGGATGTCGTTTCAGCAGTTTGGGGTAGCCCCTTGTTGGACCAGACAGAAGAATGTTAGATGTTCTGAGAACTTCAGTGTCATATGGGCAAGCACTTTAAGCTCTGCCAAAACCATAGCAGATGCCTGCTGAGTATGATTAGAAGTGACTGTTACAAATGACAACTTTTTGATTTTTTTTCCCAAATTGAGCCAGAACATATTAAATCTGCATCATTCAAAAGCAGTGAATTTTTAAAGGTTATGATTAATTATAATTAATAATAAAGATTTGACTGTGCCTATTGTGCTATATTGTGTTTAGGTTATAGGTCACTACCTCTTTTGTTTGTGTGCCTCACCCATTGCAAAAATGCTTACAAATCATTTTTCTGTGATTGTTTTTATAATGATTAGAATTATTTAGGATTCTAAGTCACCATAGAAATGTATTCAGGAACAATGAAAATAGTGTTGTTTTTTAAATAGCATTAGAACACAACTTTGCCATTGATTAGCACCATATAAAATATTAAAATCCAGCTAGTTTTTAAATACTATTCAGCTTTAGGACACGAGTTACTGGACATTACAAATGTTTCTTATATAATTTTAAAAAGTGACTTTAAAAAATCGAATTTCAAGAACTGCCAAATTAGTCCTTCATTTACTTTTCAGTTTCACATCTCATAAAATGAGAAATATCAACCATAACAGAAGTATGTATTTTAGTAGAGGAGGGCTCAGTTACAAAATTTGGATCTATAGCTTAAGTTGAACACTCCTAAGATTGAGAGGTTGTTTTGGGCTCATCTCCACAGTTTAGATTTGCACTTAAAATACAGTGTAGATAATGATGAATTTTGGATGTAAGTGTTTGGAGACACTTGTATGTTTTTCCCCATTCACAAAAGTGAAAAATGATTTTCTTAGAATCTGTGATGGTGATGATGAATATTTGTTGTGAATAAACTCAGAAATGTATCAAAAAGTTACAAAATAAATTTTTAGCAGTAAGTAAAGATGCTAACAAGCTACAGTGAAGTCTGACCATCTATCAAAATGTTTGCCATTGCCATTTCAAGAGAGTAATAACAGACTATACATATCATGAAAAGCTAAACTCTGTATCTGGAGTAATGAAATGAATCTGCTTAGGAAAGGGTGAAATACTGAGAGGTAGGATATGTATAGCGTATGTGTATATAATTAAATACTGTTACCGGTATTGCACTGAAATTAACACACACAGTGAAGATGGTGCGTAATGTAAATTAGTGTATCTCACTGGTTTGTGATCAGCACTAGCTGCCTGTTGGTTTACAGGTGATGGGATTTTTAAAATCTATAAAGCCCTATCGCATGGAACTTAGCTGTTAGAGAGACTGCCTGTTTTTCTGTCATTCTGCTGGAGTTGCGGTTAGTGGAGGCACTCAACTGAAGCCCTCCTTGGTCTGGTGCTCTCCACAAGTGACCCTCAGCTTTGGAATCCCCACCCACGTGTTCCCCTTAACCTTAAATAGCCAAAGACTGTTGTTAATGGTATGAAGAGTACACTGACAGAATTTGTGGATGACACCAAATCGGGAAGGGTTACAAGCACTTTGGAGAACAGGATTAGAAATCAAAATGACCATGACAAATTGGAGAATTAGTCTGAAATCAACAAGATGAAATTCAATAAAGATAAGGGCAAAGTACTACACTTAGGAAGGAAAAATCAAATGCACTAATACAAAAAGGGGAATAACTAGCCAGGCGGTAGTACTGCAGAAAAGGATCTTGGGGAGGGAGGTATAGTGGATCACAAATTGAATATGAGCCAACAATGTGATGCAGTTGCAAAAAAGGCAGATATAATTCTTGGATATGAGTGCTGCATGTAAGACACAGGAGGTAATCATTCCACTCTACTAGGCATTGGTGAGACCTCAGCTGGAGTATTGTGTCCAGTTTTTGATGCCACACTTACATAAAAAGTGTAGGAAAATCGGAGAGTCCAGAGAAGAGCAACAAAAATAAGAGATTTAGAAAACCTGACCTGTGAGGAAAAGTTAAAAAACTGGGCATGTTTAATTTTGAGAAAAGAAGACTGAGGGGTGACCTGGTAAGTCTTCAATATGTTACAGGCTGTTATAAAGAGAATGGTGATCAATTATTCTCCATTTGCATGTAGGACAGGAAGTAATGGGCTTAGTCTGCAGCAAGAAAATTTAGGTTCAATACTAGGAAAAGCTTCCTAACTGTAAGTATAGTTAAGTATGGAATAGGTAGCCATGGGAGACTGGAATCCCTATCAGTGGAGGATTTTAAAAACAGGTTAGACAGGCACCTATCAGGGATAGCCTAGGTCTACTTAGTCCTGCCTCAGTGCAGGGGGATGGACTAGATGACCTCTCAAGGTCCCTTCCCCTATGTTTCACTGAGTCTGAACTTCAGGGCATGCTTCAAGGCCTATCTTTTTACATAGACTTTTGCAGAGAGTGGTACAGTAAAGAACTGTATTTGTGAACAGGACAGAGTATTGTTTTTGATATTCTAGCTGTTCGTTTTCTGGTTTGGGGAAAGCTGCTGATCTTTTCCGTTGTCATTTGTTCAGGGTCATATTTTTAAATCCTACTTCGGAGCCCCGCCCCCTCCTCCCCCCCAAGACCAGAGCATGCCCTTTTTTTCCATGTTGTAAATCTAAATAAATATTAAACTTTCTTGTGACTTTATATAATAACCTCTTTCTCTGTGTGCACCTTCCCCTTGCTGACTAATTTAATCTGCTAAAACTGCAATATTCAAATAAATTTAGGAAGAGGCTAGACAGAGAACAGAAAAGTGGTTGGGAGACTTACCTTTGATGTGATTGGCTAAGCTATATATAGGCAGCAGGTAGAGCAAGGCGGGAGAGAAATCTCTGTCACTTACAACAACTTGTGCAGTTTTCACAGGTACAAGGTAATTTTATTTGTTACCCAAAACTCAGCTCAAAATTCTGTCCATCCTTGTTGTTTTTGTTTAGTAATTGTTTTTCTTTTTCACACCTACAGATCAAAGGTCCATTGTCAAAACACCAAAGACTGTTCCAGACACAGACGAAGACGAGGGAGCTCAGTGGAATTGTACTGCCTGTACTTTTTTAAATCATCCAGCCTTAAACCGTTGTGAACAATGTGAAATGCCCAGGCATTTCTAAGCCAACAGGCCCATTATCTTTTGCAAAACCATAAGAAACCTACAATGGACTGTTCTGTCATTGGGGAAAAAATCATTTTATGCATAGGATTTTGTAAAATTGAAGGTTTGACAAGATGGTGTTTTGCTAATGTTAAATGTCAGCCCACAGAGCTAATAATACCTCAGTGTTGTGTCCAAGGCAGTTGAAATTCATCAGCTGAAAGGTAATCTGCTGAAAGACTTGGTTGCCAGCTGCCTAAACCATGTACAGTATTACCAATATCCCAATAAGATAATTCTCACCGTGTTCAGTGCTTGGGTGTTCTCCATCCCTCTTTATCCCCCAATGTCACTACTGAATTTTGACAGGGGAAAGGAATAGAATGATAGCTTTTTTGTTTTCAAAGCTTTCAGTGAAACACTACAAATGCAGAGGAAATTAAAAGGAACAAGGTTTAACTATTTAAACTGTTTGCCGCCACAGTGCCCATGGATAGGGGAAGAACTTCACAAATCAGTGGTACTCTTTGCCTTGTCTTCCCTGAAAACGTCTCTGCTCTGTGAAGCCAGAATCTATACAATCACCTCTAAAGATGAAAAGGAAAAACTGCATGCATTGTCTGTACAATACACAGTGAAATACCCCAAAGCTTTTCCTACTGTACATAGCTCTAGAGCCTGCTTTAAGTGATTTCTTTTCTTCACCTTTATTATTTTCTTGTACTTCTGTATGTATAGTGTAATAGTCTTTTTTGTTAACTTTCTTTTTTCCCTTTAAGTGATTAAGCACGATCATGTCCCTTTTTTAAGCTTTTATCTGAGAGAAGCAATGCCTTAAAATAAGAGCATTAATGGTAAGAAACTATGCACAATAGCTTTCCTCTGCTCATTCTGTACATTGCTCTTGTAAATGCTGATGATCTGTGAAGACCTGCAGATGCAGCTTGGTAAAAATGCAGGAAAAGTTGGAAGAGTTATACATATAGTTCACTCTGTACACTGAGTTTTACGGTGGGTGACACAAGATAATGTTTTGTCTGGCACAAGGAAACAAACTAAGAAACTTTCAACCCACCAACAGACTAGCATCTGATTTAAGCTTGCTTCATCTGCTGGGTATCTTGCAGACTCTTGAAGAGATATTTATCGGGGGAGTACATACAGTACCAAAATCAACAGCAGCAGCATCATACAGCTTTGTTCAGAGAACTTTAAATACTTTCCTGTTTTGGCAGCCAGTTTCTAAACCTGACTTGGTGGTGAAGTCTTATATTTATAGAAAACAAGGATAGCAATATTTAGGACAACTGAAATAAAGGCTGGAAAGAGAAATCAAGCAGACTTGAACACTGAAGCAACCTCAGCATCTCTTTATTTTGATGATTATTTTTAAAGGAAAATATTCAGGTGATCAGGAATGTATGTAACTGAAGTCAAGAAAATGAAATTATATTACAGAACACGTGAAAAAGACAGCATGTAAATAATAATGTAGCAGCACTAAGTGAGGCTGGAGGGACTGCTAAAATGTAGCAAAAGGGAAAAGATAAAGTAGACTGTCACCCACTGTAAACATTTGCCAGTGGACATTTTTAAATAGGAATTTTACAAGTGATCTATGTGAATGCACAAAGGCCTTTTGTTTTGAAGGCTTTGCATTTTTTATGTGGGAATAAAATGACAATCCCAGGTAATTAGGCAGTAGACCCAAAGCACTTGCATTCAATGCATTTTGTTTATAAAAATGAGGCCTTGTTTTTCAGCTTCATCTGCAGTTCTATGTGAAGATTGACAAATCAGTTTTTACCTGTTTTATTAATAAAACCTAATTTGGATATCTTGAGTTGATGGTTTTGTGATTTAGCTGGGTAAACTGTCTTTGTAACAGATAAGTTATTTATAAAAATTAAAAAAAATATATATTCTAATGTTTGCTTTTGTGATTTGTTTGCTTTTTCAATCTTGTGGAGTAACAGTGTAGCCAACTCAGCAATAAATAGCTAAATACAGCTTTAAAATATGCTGATTTGTTATGGCCAAAGGTTTAATTAAGACCTGTTTTTATGGCATCTTTTTTCATCTTGTATTTTTCCCATGGCTTATTTCTGTTACATATTAGTTAAATGTGTACAGGGCTTGTTTTGCTCCAAAATAGTGCAGCCACAGAATTATGTCCTGACTATAGAATTCCTTCCTGCTCCAGAAAGTAGTAAAACTGCTTTCAGTCATAGGTGACGTACCCAATCAAGGGCTGGCTTACTCTCAGGTTTTGTACTGCTATAATTACATCGGTTTTCAAGCAGCAGACATAGTTAAAATGCTACAACCCTCTACTGTGGACACAGTTACATTGGTATAAAGGTGCTTATATTGGGATAGCTTATTGTACAGAGAGCATCTTTATACCAATATAACTGTATCCACACAAGGGGGTTATACGACATTAAAGGTGCTTAAATCAGTAAATTTACAGAAATAAGCTATATTGATATAAGCACCCTTATGTACAGTAGAACCTCCATTATGAACACCTCAGGAAAGTAGGTTGTTTGTAACTCTGAACAAAAAGTTATGGTTGTTCTTTCAAAAGTTTACAGCTGAACATTGACTTAATACTGTACAGCTTTGAAACTTTACAATGCAGTAGAAAAATGCTGCTTTTAACCATCTTAATTTAAATGAAACAAGCATAGACAGTTTCCTTACTTTGTCAAATCTTTTCTTAAACTTTCCCTTTGTATTTTTAGTAGTTTAACACAGTACTGTACTGTATTTGCTCTTTTATTTATTTATATATTTTTGTGTCTGCTGCTACCTGATAGCTTACTTCTGGTTCCAAATGAGGTGTTTAGTAGATTGGTCAGTTTGTAACTCTGGTATTCCTAACTCTGAGGTTCTACTGTAACTGCATCTACACAAAGGGTTGTACTGCTCTAACTATATTGGTTTAGAAGCCAATATACTGGTACAAAAACTAGACGAACACCAAGAAAGGCAGGCAGGCCACAGCATGTTCACTCAGTGACTTTTAATTCCTTTCCTGTTAATGTCGTTTGGGGGGGGAGGAAGGGGTGAAGAAGCTTTTCTAATTCCAAACAAGGTCAACCACATACTTGTTACTGATTAAAATGGACATATATAATTATTGGTGCCTGTACCAAAATTTGAATGTTTACGGACTCTGCTATTGTACAGTATAATAGCGGAGGAAGTCTTTACTTCTCAATTACGGTATAAAATTTACTGTCTTTTGCTTTTAATGTAATTTCATTTTATTTTCCTCACAATACTTTGAACACTTGGCACTAACTTATTTTTCTTTCTGTGCTTGTTTCTGTATCACTAACTTTAACAATAAAAGGCATCATCTTATGGTGCTAAACTTAGAAATTTTGGAGAAAATATAAAAATTCAAACTAAGGCTGGGGTTTTCAATCTGATTATCTAAAGCAAGAGAACTTGCATGTAGGGGGGTTTCCTGGAAAAAAAAATTCAGGTTGAAATGATGTAGCAAAACATAATCATGACATCATAGGATTCACTTTTTTACTATAAAAATGGAAACACTTGCACTAATGAAATTGTGCTGATTGTATGCAGCAGTGATAGTTAGCTGATGTTATAAGACAGTTGCCTATCATGCTGAGCAATATTGTATCATTGTTTCCTTGAACTCCCCCATATGTAAGTGTACCCATTGTCTTGTATTTAGATTGTAAGCTCTTTGGGGCAGGAGACTGAGGGTTTTGTTCTGTGTTTAGATAACACCTAGCACAATGGAATTGTAGTCTGACTGGGGCTCCTAGATGCTACCATAAAAGGAATAATCTCTTCAGCCATAGCAATGCTTTGCTGTTAAGTCTTTTAAGGAGCAATCTCTAGACAACATTTAAACATATCTTGCTAAAACTTTTCCTAACAGTTTGGCCAACCAGAGTTCATGGGTTCACACTGTGGTAAAATAGCCTTTATCAAAATAGTTTTAGAACATGTTTAAAAACACCTATCCCTGCTTTCTAATGAAACAACATTAGAAACTTTAATCTAAAATCATATTTGAAGTATTGATGTATTCTTTAAAAATGGTGCTATCTTATTCAAGTATTTAATTGATCTGCCCCCTGTATGTATTCAAGGTTCAATCTGCTTACTGATAAAACAAGAATTTACTGGTTTTTTACTCTACTTAGCCCTTCTGAGCCTATAAAACACTGGTATAAGAATGTAACAAGTAATATTTTCAGTAGCTAATCTTGGGACAGTGAAACAGGATGCAAAAGAAATTGCCAGTTTTCTTTTATTCAACAGATTCTAAAATCTACCTCTGCAGTAATATCCAATTTAACTTGGATCCTTTAAAGTTTGCATTACGGTTGTAATGTGGCTTACTGCTACAATAGAATCACCTCTTACCGTACAAGCATACGGTTTGATTAATGTGTGTTTTATCATTTTTATTTTCTTCTTTAAGGAGATAAAGGAATTTCACTGCTGAATTTTCCTTTTCCCCTTAAAATACAAGTGCATAACCTGAACCATTTGATTCTCTAATGTTAACTTATTTATATGTAGTTTATAAAGTTTATCACTAGACATTGAGTGGTATGTCCTATTGCTGCTGTAGCAGTTTCCATCAGAGGATCGGATCTCTAAGCACTTAACAAAAAATAATGGATTAAACTTAACCATGCTTCTGTGAGGGGAGTACCATGGTCATATTTAGTTTCTGGTCTTTGAGAGAGACTAGTAAATGTATTAAATATCTATCAAACTGGTGAAACTTTTCAAAATGTAATAAACTTTTAAATGCAGTTATTTTACTGGTGTGATGGCTGAGGAAGAGAGGTGATTTGGCCAAGGTCACACTTCTGTGGAAGAATCAGGAATAGATTCCAGCTCCCCTACTAGTTGTGTGTTAGTCACAATACCATCTTTCTCCCAATGTTTCCAGTCTCCTGAGTAAATTTTCCCAGTTACCCAGGTATCTTCTTGTGTGCAGCAACCCAGGAAAAAGGTACTGTTCTGAGAATCAGTATCTTCAATCTGAACCTAATGACCGATTAGGTTTAAAGCTTTTATTTGAATTGGTATTCTTGCCTTTTTATATTTAGCTTCTGTATTTGAGCTAAGAACCATTTTCATGATTTTCACTTAGCCTCTAGGAGGATCAGATATAATACAGCTATCTAGAGAAAATACAATGCCCACTCCAAAGCAAATGTTATGAGCAGTACTACATTTCTTGAACAACATTGCTCCATTTTCAGTGTGGGTTTAGGAGACTGTAATGTAAAGGAGGAAAAAATGTCTTTACTAAGTGTAATCATGCATATTAAAAAATCATAATGTAACTGTCAATTTTCTATGCAAGATTGTTTACAAGTGACTATTCTATACCTTTTTACTGACTATTCAGTGTTCTACAATTAGAATCTCATTTTATAGTGGTATCTTAAATATTTTATACAATTACTTGGAAATGCCATGTATTACTCAATAGTAACTGTGCTGCAATTCCAGAAACTGATACACCTCACTACTGTACAGCAGTAACTACATAAATTGTAACATCACTGGATGATTCAAGATTATCCTTGTTTTATGTGTTGCATTGTTTTGCAATATAATGTAGATTTTTCCTTTTAGCCATTTAACCAGTGCAGTTCAAGAAGAAAAGGTAAGTGTATTGACTCGGAATTTTTGGTGCTATTCGTTAATACAAGATATTCTATCTACAAGATAGGATAAGGGGGGGGGAGTTCACCTCCTTAGCAAATATACCTTTTTAAAATTTGAATAATTTCTAATTGCTGACCTTAAAGGATAGTCCTTAATTTTATATAGCCTATATGGAAAAAAATGCTCCAAGAAACTCATGTGGAATGTAGATTTTTTTTTTTAATAATGTTAGTGAAGCAGGTAACAAAAGAAAAAGTTAACAGGAAATGGTTGAGGTCCACCGGCTCAGTAGAATGAATAAGGAATATTGAGGGTACCATTATGGTATACCCAAGAGATAAAGAATGAGATGTTGATGAGGGAATTGAATTTGAACATATTGTTATCATTTCTGTATGAAGAGTAGCCATATAGTGAGGTGTGTGGTGTCTGTCTTTCTGAGACAAACAACTGGTTCTTCCATTCTGCTGTCATAGTCCAGACACCAAGAGCAGTAGTTAGAGAAGTGGTTGGATTTCGGTTAGGTTTAAGACAATTGTTGATTCCTAACAGTGTAAGACAAGGGGATAATTGCATTTTCATCAAATGTCCAGTTATTTTTCATATTTGTTTTAATCACAAAGTGAAATATGTCAGTATTGTGCAAATGCTACTTTTCTATAACTTAAGGCCAGACTCAACCCCGGTGCAGGTCATTGGAGTTACACCAAGGATGAATTTGGCCTGTTATCTCCTGATGTATGCATCACTCTTCCTACTGATGCTTTGGAATAAATGGGTGCAACCACAAGGAAGTCTGAGCCAAAATGACAGATTATGTAAGTAGGATGCAAGTTGCTCGTTAGGTGTAAGTTGATCAGAAAACTGATGGAATTAATAGAGTACTGTAACTTGCATCATTTTGACGTTCTGTGGGAGTGCACATTGAATCTGATGGCCGTGTAGCAGAAGCAGCAATGTGATAGCGTGATAAAGCATGTTCTCCTTATTCTATCACACACCTTTTCTTGTTTTCCTGCCACAGGCCACTCTACCCTTGAGTGTGCAAGTTATATTTACTTGCACACATTTTCTGACCAATTTACACCACCATTAATGTCACCTATGTTTGACAAAATATAAAGTTTCAAAAATCTGTCCATGATATCGTGCTTCAAGATACCCACTGGAATGCAAATCAAATTACCGAAGTATGGATTGCAAACAAGTTCCTAAAAGGAAAGCAGACAGTAAAGTACTGTTTTTCTTC